GTACAAATAGCCAGAAGTGGGGACACAAAAGTCAGCAAGAGAAAACCAAGTTTGATACCTAGAACCAGTGGGGCAATATCAGCAGAGGGAATTCAAAACACAAAGCCACACAGTTCTGGTTCAACCCTTCACTTTACAGGTGGGGAAAATTAAACCCAGTAAACAGACTTTATTGAACTGAAGTTAGGCCTAGAATTCTACACCTTCATGACTGCAAGCTATAAGTAAGGCTTTTAGGGAAGAGAACCTGTGCTATGAAAAATTCTGAGATAACTCACCTATACGTAAAATCAAGTCAATTAAATACTTGTAAACACACTGTATCTTATGGACTGTGAACTATAACAGGTGAATAAAATAGATCTTTGTATTCAACTATGTTTGTAATGTAGAATTTTGTACAGCTAAAATGTTTGACATTTGGTTCAGTTCACATAGGAAGAAATGTGGAGTAGGGGCAAGTTTGTAGATCTTGGATTGTAGCCGTGCTGAGCCCTCCCCTTCAAGGAGGTTTCCATTACACCTCTTGGATCCTCATGATTTAAGTAAAATCATCAAGAAAATCAATCCGTGAGTACAAAAGCTCTTATAAATTGGCATATATTGAAGAGTGGTCATTGAGGTGACATCTGAGCAAAGGTTTAAAGGGGGTAAAGCAGTTTGCTTTAAGAAAGGGAAGAGGAAACAAGTATAAAGGTGTGGGCAAGACAACTTTTATCTCCCAGACTTTCCAGGCCAGTCCTGAATTCAATGATTATGATCTGGTGTCAGATTATACATATGATTCTAAGTTTTTGGTTCAGAAAATATGGTCACCATGGATCTGGGGCAAACCACACAAGATGAAACACATCCTTCCTCTTAAACCCATAGCAAACTGCATTTATCCAGTTGGAAGTAGGTCAAAATATTCTCAGGGCCAGTGTAAAAGGAAAATGGCTAGAGCCCACGCCGTGAAAGAGGGGAAATGTGGCCTTTCCCTTCAATTCCTACTGCTTCAGAACTGGAGTGGGGGGAAATTTTATCAGAGGGAACCATTTCCTGGTCACTTCTCTACATCACAAACCGCCAGAAAGACTTAAAAAAAATTGACCGTGGTTAAAAAACAAAAAAAAAAGCCTGAAACCCTGAATTCAACCTCTCACCCAGGTGCTAGGGCGGCGTGCTGGGTCAGGTGTGTTAAAATAAACAGGTGACAAATAGTTACGTAAAATTCCCGGATTCCCCCGTGGCTTAATTTACATTTCAGAAGTCCAACCTTACCCACCCCCCTGCTCAGCCATTTTATTCTTTCCGATGCAGACATCGTCTAGGCGGAATCGTCCCTGAGAATAATTAACATTGCTCACGAATTAAAAGCGCCAATTCTGGAGCCCTGACTGGTTTCCAGTCTGGGTTCCATTTCCCGAGGATTTAAGTTTGACGAAGTTACTTAACTTTTCCAAACCTCAGTGTCTCCAATAGAACGGGGGGTAATAAAAAGCACTACTCATCGTTCTGCAATCGGCACGATAAGTGAGCAATAAAAGCCGCAGCAGCCGACAGATAAAAAGCAGCAACTGGAACGTCCCTCTCCCGACGGCAGGTGCAAGGGCCGCTCGGAGAGAAGAGGTTGGACGCCCTCCCTTGCCCGACAGGTTAAGTGAAGCCCGGATAACGGGGAAGGGACTGACCCAAGGTCACACAGACGTCAGGGGAGAGAATCCCAATTCACCTGCCAGCGCCACACCTGGGGAGAAGGTGCCAGAAGAGGTACATCCCCAATTCAATCGATGCTGGGGGCTGAACAGACTTTCCCCTCCGAGGACGCGCCCTCGGGTCTTCCCGCATTCCTCGGCCCGGCGAGGGGCGCGGCGGTGGGCGTCAGTGTGCCCCTCTGGAAAACGGGGCCGCGAGCGCCCGGTCGTCGCCGCCGAGAGGCTCGGCGCGTCCTCTCGCCCTGCAGCCCTCACTCCCCGCCGGCCCGCTCGTCCCTACTGCCGCCACGTCCCCGACCCCCGGGCTGCCTCGCTTACCTGCCCTCGGACGCGGCGCTCGAGGCCAGGAGGCGCTGCACCCCTCGCCGGCCCGCCCACAAGGCCCGCGCGGCCATGTTCCCGACCGCGGCTGACGGAGGCAGCGCACGCGCACTTGCCCCAACCGCCGAGACACGCTCACTTAAAAAACCAGGCTTCGCGGGCGTTTCCCTCTCCCGGCTGCCGGACGCGAAAGCTGCACTTCCGGCTGTCCGTGTGCGCCGCGCTCTTCCACGGAACGCAACACTTCCGGTCCTCGGTGTGTTCGGGTCCCTGTTGCAGGGACGAAGGGGCCGTGCCACCCGCGGAATCCGCGGCGAACAAAGGGCATCACAGCTGTGCCCTCGTGGAGCTTACGTGAAGTTATTAACAATAAACAAATGCAAATACGATGTAAAGTCAAAATATGGCCGGTGTTTAAAAGTGAGGAGCATGGTGCTGCAGAAGTCTAGAATACAATATGGCCGAGCATGGGGAGTTTTCCCCAAGGAAGTAATATTTGAACTGAAGGCTGAAGAATGAGTAGATGAAAAGAGGAAAGTGGTTCAGGCAGAAGGAAATAGCATCTGCAAAGAGCCAGTGACGGGGGAAAGTTTTGCGAGGAAGGGACTGAAATACAGGAGGGACGGGTGGGGCAATACGACACGAATGGGTAGGCGGGGCCAGGTCACGTGAGAGGTTTAAAAAAAAATCGGAGCCTGAGTCCCACTCCCCTGTCACTCGTCCCTGCTTTTTCCTCCCCTCACTAGACTGAAAGCTCCTTTAGGGCGGAGGGTTTTTTGGTCTGTTCATTTCCAATGAACAGTGCCCTAATGTAGTAATTCAAATTTTTTTGTGGAGTAAACTTGAGTCTTATTCTGATTGCAATGGACACATGTTAACAAAGCCTTTACATATTTAAGGGGGTCACTTTGCTATGCTTCAGGAAGGTGTCTGTCTTGTTCACAGCTGTGATTTCTAAAATCTAGTACAATTGAGCACCTAAAATCTAGGTGCTCAATAAATATTTGTTGAATGAATTAAGTTGGATGATGTTAGTAGAGATGGGAAGAAGTGAAAGAATTTTAGAGAGATTTAGTATGGAAAGTTGACAGGATGTGAGCATGGGCTGATGATTGGGGTTGATCAGGGCACCTGGAGTTGCCACACTAGTTACTAGTTCTAAGGTAAAAAAAAAAATTTTTTTTTTAAGGGATAGGAAGTGTGCCTTCATCATTCTGAATCTTCACCGTAACGTGGCTTACTTGTACTGTAGCTATGGGTCAGATTTTCTCTCTGCTTGTCTGTGAGTTCCTTGGGGACAGAGCTGGAGTCTTTTGCATCTTTACATCCTATTCAAGGCCCAGCTCAAATGTGTTGTAACCAATACCTTGTGTTTCCTTTTGGCCTTAGGAGAAGAGAAATATGGTTTAAGGAGGGATTATGATCCCCCTTTACATATGAGAAAATTGAGGCTCAAAGAGGTTGGTGAACCTGCTCAAGGTCCCCCACTGAGGATCTAGTGACACTAGAAATCTGACAGTCCAAACACTTGGGAGTGTAGGGAAGGATGGAGCTTCAAGTCCACTCGGACCTATGAGCCTATACTTTGAAAAAACAACCAAACAAGGCATTTTAACAAGTAAGAACTGGCATCCATGCTTTAGCCATTTTGTTTACATTTCTCTCAGCTGTCCCTCTTACACCAAATGTGCTGCATACATGAATCCATTCATTCATCTATTTGTTGAGTGCTAGTGTGCTTCTGAATGCTGCAGTGCAAGGTGGGGGAGAGACCTGGATAAAATAGAGCCTTGGGAACTAAGAGGAAGGGCTCTAGGCTCAGACTTCTTGTATTCAAGTGCTGGCTCCACTACCACTTCCTAACTGTGGCCTTCCATTTCCTGAACTGTGAAAACTGGGATAACAGAACCTGGCTCACAGGGTATTAGTAAAGACTAAAGGGATAGTGCCTAGAAAAGTGATTAGTTAGCACCAGGACCAGCTACATAATTTAAAGGGTAAAAGGAAAATGCGGAGTCTCCTGTTCTAAATTTATTAAGAGGGCAACAGCACAGCATTAAACCAAGCACAGGGCCCTACTAAGTGCGGGGCCCTGTGTGATTGCACAGGTTGCATGCCTGTGAAGCTGGCCCTTGCTAACACAGTGCCTGATGCACGGTGAGTGCTCAATAAACAATAATTATTGATTTCCTAAGGTCCGAGCTCTCAAAGAGTCCAAGATCTATTGGAGGGAAAAGACAGTTAATCTTAAAATAACTGCATGAGAGAGAATGTGACACACGCTGAGGACATTGTTGGGGGCCATTCCAGGATCCATATTTTAAAAAACAACATTGACAATCCAGACTATGTCAGCTCCTTTGTCATTGAAGACACTCAAGTGGAATCTGGATGAAAATGATCAGTTATGGATTGGTTGCCTTTTAGCTTTTGGTGGTTACCAAGAAAAAGTCATTTCTTCATCAGTAGAAAGAACACAGGATTTTGAGTCAGACATTTCCTATCTAGTTAATAAGAAGAACCACTTGACTGGGCATTTCCTATTTCTTGGACACTGTGCAAGATGCTTTCCATATATTATCATCTCATTGAATTACCCTAACAGTCTTGGGAGGAAAGTATAATTGTTAACCCAGTCTTCATAGGTAAGGAAAACAAGAATCAGAGAGGTCAAGTGACTTTCCCGAAGTCACAGCTGGTAAGTGGCAGAGGCAGGGCTCAACCCAGCCCTGTCTGGATCCCGGTTCATAAACCCTAAGCCTTATGCTTTGCCACTGACCAGCTGAGTGCTTTTGGTCAGATTACTTTCCTTGCTCTGGTCTCCAGCTACCTCAGAGGGTGGCAAAGTTTGGATGAGGCTCAAGTATGTAAAGCCTTCTTCGGTAGGGTAAGGTATGTGAAGCCTCTATTGAAGTGCCCAGAGGTTATTCTGGGATTTCTCTTCTCTCCCCTTGAGCTAACCTCTGAGCAATTCCAGTTGAATGGTTTTTTCTTTATTGGAGGGAAATGTGGTAACGACCTATAAAGTGCCTACAGTGGTGAGAAAGTACTGAGTGGCACAGCAAGGAGACTGCCTAGGACTTGAGGTCCTTGCTCCCCTATGACAGTGTCAAGTGTTTATAAAAGGCTTAGCACCCATGTGGCAGAAGTGAGCCACCATCCTCTTGGTTCTCCCTGATAGTTTTACTTGACAACAGATACGGAAGGGCAGACGGGTGGGCCTCAGAGTGCAAGATAAAGATAAAGACATAAAGCGTGTCACCTGGATTTCTAACCATAGCTCCTGGAGCCTGAATGTCATATAAAATAAAGGACTTGATTGACAGCAAATAACCCCACCCTACAAAGCCTACAACATCCTGTGGACATTAGACATCCATGCTGTCACTGAGTATCACTGTGAGGTTAAATTATGTCAGCTGCTGAACCTCTCTTTGCCTGCTGCATACTCAGATTTCTGATTTGAAAACAATTCAAATCTGGGGTTCCGGTAGCTGCATCTGCTGAGTTCTAAAGCGAATAAGGAATGATTGTAGAATTTGCTTGTTTCTATAGCTTTTGTTCACCTTTATGCGGGCAGGGATAATTCTATTGATTTTTCAGCCTATTTATCTTGCCCAGAGGTGGTCAGTAATGCCCAACATGAATCCAGTTGGCGCAGATGTGATCGAATGACCAAGTTTCTTCTCTTCGCCCTGCACCACGATGCTTCAGCACTGCCTTCCTCTGCCCTAAGGACTGGGAATGGGATGCTGAGAATGGGATGGAATGGCTTATTCACATGTGCTTTCATTTCTTCCTCAGAAGGGAAGGCCAAGACATTTAACAAAACCTTTACAACAGTGCAGATTTCTATCTCCCTCCGCCCCCATTTTCCACCCTCTGTAAAGTTATAAGGACGCCCTCCATTTCCCTCTTCCCTTCTACCTCTTCCCTCCCCAATTCCCCTATAATCATGCAGACAGTAAAGGCTGGTCTTCTGGGTGCCCCGGAGAGTAGAGACTACTTCCAGTCTTCTGGTATCTCCTTGTGAAAAAAGCATTTCTGCCTTAGATGGACAATCTGGTATTTCCTTTGGAATGAAATCCTCATCCTCTTTCTAGGTCTTCTTCATTTCCCATTCCTGAAGTACAGAAAGACAAAACAAATCAGTTTGCTGAATATTCTAGTGTGACTTGTAGGATAAAAACGTTCCACTGTACCTAATTACATAAAGATTGCCACCGGCCAGATTAGAGAGCCATGGGTCCTAGTCCCACTCTCTCTCTCTGTAGCCTTGGGCAAGTCATTTCTGCACAATGGGCCTCATCTCTAAGGGGGCTCAAATATCACAAAGTTTGTCTTTCTCAGACAAGAAACCTGAGGCCCAGAAGGGGGAGGGAAGCGGGGACTGCATTTGGCCCCAGTGCTATTCCACAGGACCTTGGGGTGGGGTAGGACGCTGATGAGAGAGAAGCCAAAGCAGTTTGGTAAGGAAGGGTGAGGGCAGGCAGCCCATGGGGTTCCATTTCTTCTCCCAGGGCTGTCTAGGAGTTCATCTGAGAGGGATACTGAAGTCATGGCCAACAGTGAATGGCTTTTTACCCACAAATGATGCATGGGGTTTCCAGCCAGCCCTGGAGGTGATGGTGTGAACCCGGGTAGAACGTGATGGTTAGAAAATTCTTGGTGGGAGGACTCTCCAATCCCAATCTGCTCCTCTCCCAAGCTTCGCCATCTAAACTGCAGTTGCTCAAGGCGATGACCTAGGAGTCATCCTTGATTCCTCTTCCTCATCCTCCACATCCTCATCAGCAAATCCTCTGACTCTACCTCCAAAGCCAGCCACTTCATATCACCTCCACTATACCCTTCTCATCTCTCATCTAGATTACTGCTTCTAACTGGTCTCTCTCGTCCCGTCATCAGTGCTCAACAGAGTAGTCAGAATGGTCTTTTAAAAATGTAATTCATATCCGAAAATGCCTTGCTCAAAACTTGCCAGTGACTTTCCATTATGTCAAAACAAAATCCAAAGCTCTTCCAATGGCCTATGAGGATCAAGGAGAAGCAAACTATGGCCAGTGGGCCAAATCTGGCCCACTGCATGTTTTTGTACAACCTGTCAGCTAAGAATGGTTTTCACAATTTAAAAAAAATCAAAAGAATAATAATTTTTCATGACACATGAAAATTATATGAAATTCAAATCTCAGTGTCCATAAATTAAGTTTTATTGGGACATACCCATGTTCATCATTCTTTTACATATTGTCTATGGCTGCTTTCCTGCTGCAATGGCAGAGTTAAGTGGTTACGAAAGAGACTGTGTGGTCCATAAAGCTTCAAATATTTACTATCTGGCCCTTTACAGAAAGTTTGCTGACATCTGGTCTAGATGATCTGGCCTCTGGTTATTTCTCTAATCTCACGTCCTAATGGTCAGGTATTTGTTTTTTAGGTCCACACTTTCTTATCTGCAATTCTGAAATTTAGAAAGTTCTGAAACTAAAATTTTTCTCAAATGTATTGGCACAAACTCATTTGGTGGCAAAATCTGACCTGAGCTGATGTGAGGCTGTTTATAACCTCTTTATTCCACATGGTGTGAATATTCATGAGTCTTGCTATAGAATTATTAACGTTTGCTTACAGAGTACCTCCTGAGAACTTGTTGGAGTTTTTCATCATATATAATATGTATCATATTACCTTTCTAAATCCAAAAAGTTCTGAAACACAGCTGGCCCCAAGAGTTTCAGAGACAGGACTGTGGACCAGTATCACAGTGAGCCCTGGCCTTGGAATTGGAAGAGGTGGGTTTGCATCCCAGCCCTCCCAATGCTGCCCTGTATACCAGTGTGCAAGTCCCTTCAACCCCCATCTTCAGTCTCCTCACCTATGAAACAGGGCCTTTCCTGTCTCAAAACACACTGTAGACTCAGAAATCAGATAACCGAGCTCGTTAGAACTATGTGTTAAGAAAGAGAAAATAACTTCTGAATGAGATTTAAGGATTTTTTCTAAGCAAAGTTCATGAATTTTACTGCATGTACGTATTGGCAATTGTCTGCCTTTTCTCACTCGCTGGTTTTTTGGTTCTTGGTGAGGTTTCATTAAAAGGAGGCTGCCAGTTCTCTGAACTGTGCTTAGCTGAGTGATTGCTGTACCTTGGCTTTCTGTAGTACCCTTCCTTGGTTGAAGGTTACGATGGGTGGGCTCCTCTTCCTCAGCTCAGAAACACAGTTGACAGGGAGAGGTTGCTCTGGGGCGTTGTTCTGGGGTTTATTTGCAGTTTCCTATTGATAACAAGAAATAGTTACATAGGTGAGGTCTAGTGCTGGCTACCTACAGCAAGCCTGCCCTCCAAAGATGCAAGTAGAAGGCACTCTGCTGATGTGCCAGCATCACACAGGGTGAGGGAGGAAGATACTTGAGGGCCTTGGACTAACGGTAAGGATGGCTAAAAGTACGAAACTCCCACTATGCACCAGGCATTGCGTGGGTTAGCTTATTTAGCCTTTACAGGTCTATGAAGTAGGTACTAATATTAGTCATCCTATTTTACAGAGAAGGAACATGAGAAGGTCAAGGCACTGCTCACACGGCTGGTGAGTAGGAGAGCTGGCATTCAGACCCCACAGCCCTCTCTCTTAACCTCTCTCCTGTATTCCTTCTCATTTTCTACACTGCCTTCACCCCTTAAATTTTCCAGGTAATTGCTTAGTACCTTACTGGATGTAGTTCCTTAAGCATGACATTTTAATAGCTAAGCCTGCAGGGAATTTAGAGAAGACTTCTCTTTATCTCCCAAGGCCATCAAAAGGATCAGAAGTGGGGGGAAAAGTCCCTGGAATGTGCACATCAGGGCATGCAGGTGGGAGGAAGCGGCTGGAATGAGTGAACCCCTCCTAACTCTTCCACCAGCCCTCTGTGACCCGGGGAAGTTGTTTTGTCCCTGGCCCTTAAGCTCTCTGCCTGTATATCAGCTTGGAAAAGCCCCACGGAGAGGAAGTGTAGGGGCGGAAGAAACAGCCCTGGCTTCAGAGTCACGGGGTGTGGTCTGACCAGGCAGCGTAACCTTGGACAACAACAATAAGAATACACTTCCCAATGACAACTCACACTTATCAGACCAGTTATTACATCTCTCTGAGTTTCAATTTCCTTGTCTGAAAGCAGGTAAAACATTTATTCATTCAACAAGCATTTATTACACTCCTACTATTTTTCAGACTCGGTAAAGAGAGGCTAAAGAGATAATGATAAAAGAGACATGTCCAATTCTTAATAAAAATACAATCTAGTGGAGGAGACAGACATTAGACAAGTAAGGACACAAATATATACATACTGTGGTTAATGCCATGAGGAAGAATAACAGATGGGACCACTGGTAATTTACATCAGTGGTTTCCAACTGGAGGCAATTTTGTCCTCTCAGGGGACATCTGGCTATTTCTGGAGACACTTTTGGTTGTCATAACTAGGGGTGGGGTGCTACTGGCATCTAGTGGGTAGAGGCTAGGGATACTGCTAAACATCCTACAGTGCACACAGAAGTCTCCTATGAAAAAGAATTATCGGCCCTGGATGTCAATAGTGCTGAAGTTGAGACACTCTGATACAGACTGAGGTCAGCAGAGTTCTTCCTGAGAAAGTCCCATTCAAGGTGAGAGTACCTACCTTGCAGGGTTGCTGGGAGCATCGGAGATAACGGATGCAAAGGCCCGAGGATAGGGCCTCGTACACTGGGGGCCCTAGGAGAGGGCATGTGCCGTGGGGGCTAAAGCAGGGCCCTGGAGTCAGACTTCCTGGGTTTGGAATCCTGTCTTCCACTTAGCTGAGTGGCCTTGAGCAAGTTATTCAGCATCTCTGAACCTCAGTTCCCTTGTCTGTCAAGTGGGGTGAATGCACATAGTACTACCTCATAGGACTGCCGTGAAGACTGTGTGGGATGATACAGGTGAAGATGCTGTACTGGCCTTCACAAGGTGGAAGTAACCGACCAAGACAAGGTTGTTATTCTTATTCAATGTATGGTAGTTATTATTATCATCAGTAACCCCAAGGCTACTTCTGAGATCACATTCAGGATAAAACGTGACATGGTGCAGCTGCAGTGGAGAGAACACAGGCCAAAGAACTTGCTCTGAGAGCCCCCTTCCCAGCTGTGCCCCCTCTGTACGGCATCTCTCCTCTCCTCTGGGACTCAGCTTTCTCATCCGTAAACAAGCATAACTCCTGCCCCCAAAGAACGATCATGAAGAGCTAGAGCAGGTGAAGGGTAAGGAGCAGCTGCCCCTGTGCAGAAGGAGGTGGACTCACCCCACTCTTCTTCTTGCTGCTCACGGAGAGCCCCAGGGCCGGGCCCCCTGCCAGGGACTGCTGCAAGCGTTCCTTCACAGCCACCAGCCGCAGCTCCAGGTCGATCCGGCGTTCCTCCTTCCCCCGACACTGAGCTTCCAGGGCGGCCACCGCCTCCTCCAGAACCTTTACCTTTGCTCCTGTGTCCAAAGACACCCATGAGAAACAGCGGAGCCTGGCCTGAAGCATCAGGGAGCCGGGCAGGGCCTCAGGCCCTACTCTGCCCCTCCGGGGGGCCTTTCCAGCCCTCGGTCCTCGTTAAGAGATGGACTTGGGTCTGAGGTTCCAGCTCCATGCTGAGTTGTGTGGTTTTTACCTGCCCAGTACCCATGTCCCCATCTTCTGGTTATAGAACCCTGATTTCCCACTGGGAAACCACCTTTCCCTTCTCAGTCCCTGTAGTTTGAATGGGGCTGACCTCACTCCTAGTTCAAGGGGTTGGCACATAACTTAGATCTGGCCCATAATCATATCTCATTTTCTGGTCACGGTAATTGATTTAGGGATCAAAGCTGATCCACTCAGAGTGAATCCTGAGGTGTTTGTGGGGGCCACTGGGAAGAGAAGCTCTCTCTGCTGGGGTGGCTGAGAGGACTGGGTGAGGGCTGGAGCTGTGCAGCCATTATGCCACCATGAGGGGCAGAGAATGAAACCAACGTAGAGGAAGGCAGAAGCAAGAATTAGAGAAATATGCTTCCTGATGACATCATTTAAGTCCCTGGACCTCACTATACCTGATCATTCAATTTTCCAATTACATTGTTCTCCTTTTCATTTCTAAGCCAGTTTGACTTTGGTTTCTGTTACTTGTAACCAAGAGTCATAACACAGGGCTTTCCATTGACCAGTAGGAACCAGGGGTTCCTACTAGGATTTTGCTGCTCATTCAGTTAAGCCAACAAACCTATATTAGAACCTTCTTTGTGCCAAGAGCTGTGTTGGGTCTTACCAGGTTTAAAAATTAGTTTCATTGTTTGCCCTAAGGGAGTCTGCACTGGAGGGTTTTCTAGTACTGGTGGATTCTTTTCATTCATTCATTCATTCAGTAAATACTTACTGAGTGCCTGCTATGTACCAGGCACTGTTCTGTGCCCTTGGGACATATCAGTGAATGAAACAGGCAAAGATCCTTGCCTTTATGGAGCTTGTATTTGTGTGTGTGTGTGTGTGTGTGTGTGTGTGTGTGAGAGAGAGAGAGAATAAATATAATAAATAATCTAATATATTACAAAGTGATGTGCTATAGGGAAAAACTGAGCAGGACAAGGAGGATAGTCAACCTGTTCCAAACCCTGGTTCTGACTCTTAGAAAGTTCTTCTTTATATTGAAACCAAACTGCCTTTCTGGGCCTCCCTTCCATTGATTCTGGTTCTTGACCACACAGAACAAGTCTTATCCTTTAAGCAAGAAGTTCTCAATCTGAGGCTCATGGATTCCTAGGCAATCTATGGCTCAGGGGGCACACGAGCTCCTGAAATTGTTTGCAACATTGTGAATTGTGGGTTTTTTTCCCCTTAAGAAAGGGTCCATAGGTTCCATCAGATTCTCATGGGGTTATGTGGCCTTGGCCATATTCTATATGAGGACAGTTCCCTCCAGCATGTGCAGAAACCTCAGGCTGAAAGTGTGCCAAACTGCAGCTATAGAGAGAATTCAAAGGGAACACAGCAGAGAATAGGGCACAGAGGAGTCCAGAGCAGGCAGGGCTTGTGGAGGTCACGGCCCTGGCTTTCAGAAAAGGATCCTGGCGAAGTGTCCCTGCCCACCATTTCTAGCACCTGGACCAATATCTCACACGGTCAGGTGCTCAGCACATATCTGAACGAATGAGCTAATGTGAGGCTCAAAATGATACCTCTTATTTCCTTGATTTTAAGGCACACTCTATTTTTCACGTTTTAACATTTCTAAAATCAGATCGCATCTTTCCACATTAACTGTACACCTTTTTGTCATGCTTTTTCATCCCCTTACCCCAAAAGCAGTTATTAAATTGATGGCACTTCCATTAGTCAGGAGAGACGGTGATGATAGGGTGACGATGAGGAGGAGGAGGAAGGGGAGTTCCTGAGTAAGGAACTGGGTGACCTGTGCCAGGGGAGGTGTCACGGCTGAGTCCCCCATGAGCGCTCAGGACCACACCCACGTAGGTACCTGGGCTGCTCCGAATGGCTTCCTTCAGCTCCCTCTTCTCCTGCCTCAGTGCCATCAGCTCGGTCCGGATCGTCTCTTTCTCTTTCTCCAGCTTCTCTTTTTCTACCAGGTACCTCCGGGCATCCTCCTCAGCTCGGTTCTTACCGTACTTGTATTGATTGGCACCTGCAGAGATGTGAGGCAGGAAAGGTCCTCAGGTAAGGGTACCTGGGTGGTGTTAGCTTCTCTCTCAGCCTCAACTCCTCCATCTATTAAATGGGAATACTTAGAGCTATACCCCTAGATATATTTCATGTGACTCCTCTAAGGAAACAAGGAGCAAAAGGGAGACAGAGCACAGGGACGAGGAGCAAGGGCTTTGGAACCAGACGGACCGAGGTTTGCGTTCTCTTTTGCCCAAAGTGAATGGTGGTGTTTTGTGCCTTCCCTTTAGGCCTTGGTTTCCTCACTTGTAAATGTGGATATTGATCATATTTACCTTTTAGCATTGTAGTAAGGTTTAAATGAGATAATTCATGAAAAGTACTTAGTATAGTACCTGGCAAATAGTACGTGCTTAGTAAATATTAGATAATAATAATAATATGAAACAAATTTTGTGATGTATAACACACTTTGGTTTTAAAAGGGCCTGTTTTGGGCTGGCCCGGTGGCGCAAGCGGTTAAGTGCGCGCGCTCCGCTGCGGCTGCCCGGGGTTCGCCGGTTTGGATCCTGGGTGTGCACCAACGCACCGCTTGGCAAGCCATGCTGTGGAGGCGTCCCATATAAAGTAGAGGAAGATGGGCATGGATGTTAGCCCAGGGCCAGTCTTCCTCAGCAAAAAAGAAGAGGATTGGCAGATGTTAGCACAGGGCTGATCTTCCTCACAAAAAAAAAAAAAGGGCCTGTTTTAAAGTCAACTCTCAAGTATATAAAAGACAAGGAGACAGCCACTTAGAAATCAGATCCAGAGAGAATTGAGACTTTGGGCTAAAGTCAGGCATTGCCCATTTTATTACTGGGAAAATGGACCTTGTAGTCTACTGTAGGCTCTACACTATGATGGACAATAACAACAAATAACTATGGCAACAACGTATTGAACATTTACTATATGCTAGGCCATTTATATGCACTTCCATTTAATCCTCACAAAAACTTACTATCATTAGCTCTATTTTATTGTTGAAGAAACTGAGGCAGAGAGGTTAGGTCTCACGGCCAGTGATGGCAGAGCCCAGGTTTGAACCCATGTCTGTCTAACTCCAGGATCCACGCCATGCAACACTGCTCTAGCTGGGCAAGGCCACAGTCCAACCTCTAAAGTGAGGTTTCATTTCTTTGTGACCGACAGCCACATACAGTCCTTTTTAAGTTGGTGGGTTGTGGAGTGATCCCTGTGATTTACTGGTAATTGGGGGTCTTGTCTCTGCAGCTCTTGCAGGGATTGTGGTGGTCACGCAGTGACCCATGCAAAAATCAGTTCCTGCCACCACTACCCTGCAATTCCAGCCTGATCATAAACAAATCATGGAGGGCAGAAAAGGGGACCCATACCTCGCCCAGCTTCCCAGATACACAATGGCTTCCTAGGGGAATTGGCTCCTAGAATTTTGGACTTTATAGACTGGTAATATAAAAAAAAATGAGTAGACCAATAAAGGGCTGTCAACATTCTGTTGTATCTGATAAGGACCTTAAAAACCCCAATTTTTCCCAATATTTTATAAAATAAACAATATTTTAACATCCCCAGAGTTGGAAGGATACAAATGCAGAAATAAATAGTCATTTACATTGAATAGATTTAGCTTTATAAAAAACTTCATGCACTGTGCTTATTTTTCTCATTTCATTGCAGATGAATGAAAACTTCCTTACAGACTGAACCAGCAAATGGACTCACCTTGGGGAGCTGCTACCCTGATCGGCCTTGATGTGTCAGCACCACGGAGAGCAGCTTATCTCACATCCCATCCTGTAATACTTGAGTCACTCAAATGTGGTGAAGAAACAAACTAGATTGTTTCTTTTTATAATTTTATTTATTTTTTATTTATTTTTTTATAATTTAAAAAAATTTTTTCCCCCAAAGCCCCAGTAGATAGTTGTATATCATAGTTGCACATTCTTCCAGTTGCTGTATGTGGGACTTGGCCTCAGCATGGCCAGAGAAGCGGTGCATCGGTGCATGCCCGGGATCTGAACCCGGGCCACCAGCAGCGGAGCGCGCGCACTTAACCGCTAAGCCACGAGGCCGGCCCCTAGATTGTTTCTAATGGGTAAGTTGTAAGGAGCTACCATTCTGTGGGCCTCATAGGGTTAGTGATAAAATAGTTGCTTCAGGTCTGCTGAAGCACCTTGCAGAAAAATCTGGGCTTGGCTTCCATAGTGAGAAAAAAAAGGATTGTATCCAAGTTACTAATATGACCAATGCACTAATGTTGTAGTATGTATCAGTACTTCATTCCTTTTTATTGCTGAATAATATTCCAGGTGATTTTAGGGGGAAAGCCTCTATTGATTCTATGAGAAGTCAGCTGTTAATCTTATTGGTGGATCCCTTGTAAGTGATGAATCAGTTTTCTCTTCTGCTTTAAAGACTTTCTCCTTGTCTTTGGCTTAGCATTTTGATCATGATGCATCTTTTGTGGATCTCTTTGCATTTATCCTACTTGAACTTCACTGAGCTTTCTGGATGTATAAATTAACATTTTTCAATAAATTTGGCAAGTTTTCCGCCATTATTCCTTTTAATATTTTTTTGCTCCTTTCTCTCTCTCTTTTCCTTCTGGTACTCCTTTTATGTATATGTTGCTGCACTTAATGGTGTCCCACATTTCTCTAAGAATCTGTTCATTTTTCTTCATTCTTTTTTCTCTCTGTTCTTTGGAATGCATAATCCCTCTTGATCTATCTTGAAATTCACTTATTCTTTCTTCTGCCAGTTCAAATGTACCATTGAGCCCCTCTAGTGAGTTTTTAATTTCACTTATTGTACTTTTTAGCTCCATGATTTCCATTTGGTTCTTCTTTTTATAATCTCTGTCTCTCTATTGATCTCTACCTGATAAGACATACTCATCTTACTTTCCTTTACTTCTTTGAGCATGGTTTTCTTTGGTTCTTTGAACATATATATAATGGATGCTTTGAAGTCTTTGTTAAATTCTATATGCAGGCCCTCTCACAGGCAGTTTCTGTTGCCTGCTTTTTTCCCTCTGTATGGGTCACACTTTCATGTTTCTTTGCATGTTTCATAATATTTTGTTGAAAATTGGACATTTTAGATAATGTATTTAGCATCTCTGGATACTGACCTTCCCCCTCTGTCTGGTTGTTTATTTGTTTAGTGACTTAGCTGGCTCTTTTAGTGAAGTCTGTTTTCCCCTGCAGTGTGTAGCCTCTGATGTTGCTCCTCAGAGGGTGCACCCTTGGAGGACGGTGATCTTAGCAGGGCTCTCTCTGACTCTCTCACTGATTCTCTGTTAGTCTCCCGCCCAGCTGTTAGGCTCCACAAACTGTCAGCTGATTGCTCTATTGTTTTTGACAATGCCCTAGGGCAAAAATCGCTCCACAGTCTGATCCAATTAAATTCAGCCCCTTTGCAGGGTAGTTTTTAAAGCCAATCTTTTGAGGTCAGTCTTTGTTCTGACCCCAGCAGGGCTCTTCTTTGCTGTCTCTTTCCCTGATTCTCTCTGATGAACTAGCTGGCCTACACTTTAGTTTATTGCTCCCATGGAGCTACCAGCTTCCTTACTTGTTTACCACCAAATCTCCCTTGTTTTTGAGAGCATGCTTTGGCTTGAACTTCCTCACACTCTGCTCCAACTAAAGTCAGTTCTTTTGAGGGAGAGCTTTGGAGTTCTCTGTTCTTATGGCCTACCTCTCACCCTGGGCAAAATCTCTGAGTCACTGTTCTGGATCTAGGGGTGGGAACAGTGGCCTGCTTCTCTCAGAGTGACATCTCTGCTTTATGAGCAGGGTGTTGGGTGGGGG